TAATAATAATAATAATAATAATAATAATAGAAGGTTAATGATAATATCCTGCTTTTTTCTCTTCAAAGGGCCCAAAAATATGTGTATGCTATCCTTAAAGGGAAAAATGTATGTTGTGTATATTTGTTATCTTTATACAGTTCTTTCAGTCCCTTATTCTGAAATACACTAACGTATCTTGTTTTTTGCTGCCTTGGTTGTAATACAATGCATTTTGCAATTAAGAGCCATTCGGTTTAAAAAAGACCTGCTCCCACTAGAGCTGAAGCTGCGATCTTATTCGAAGTTGGTGCAAGTAATAAAAACAATTCAGTTAAAAGGCATCACCAAAAGGACTGAGCCACCAGTGGCGGAGTGGGTTAAACCCTGGGCAACGTCCTTGCAGACGGCCAATTCTCTCACACCAGAAGCGACTTGGTTTTCTCAAGTTGCTCCTGACACACACACACACACACACACAAAAACCCAAAAGGACTCAAGTGTTGGCCTTGCAACGTCAAGGCTGGGGATTTCTATTGCTTGGTCGCTTCAATTGTCAGGAAATATGAAGATCTCAGGGTCCGTGTGGGTTAGGGCCCTTCAGCACAGTCATATAACTCAGAATATCAAGGCAGATAATCCACAATATCTGCTTTGGACTGGATTATCTGAACCCACACTGCCATATAAACCAGTTCAATGTGGATTTTATGCAGCTGTGTGGAAGGGGGCTTAGTAGTTTGAGCATTGGACTACGACTCCCTGCTCAGCCATGGAAACCTCTTGAGGAAGGCGATGGAAACTCCCTTGGAACAAATCATACTTTGTGACCACTGTTGCCATATGTTGGAAACAAAGGCACTCGATGTAAAAGAACTTAATAAACATGAATGCTGGCTCGGGATGGATTTGGGGACTGATCCAACAAAATATTCTTCTGTATCTTCCCTTTTAGTTCGTCTCCATAGCTCCAATGGAGGACTTGTTGGGTGATTGGGCCGGCCGGCCTTTCCATGTGGTGACCCCTGTCTTGGAAAGCATAGCCTTGTCCCGAGCAGCCGGCACCAAGGTCTACATGAAGATGGAGAATGTCCAGCCCACCAGCTCATTCAAGATCCGAGGCATTGGCTACTTTTGCCAGGAGGTGAAAGCCGAATTGCAAACATAACTCTTGACGTGGATCAGTGCTATGAAATCCTGGGATTCTTAGTTTGACAAGGTATTTCGCTGTATCTGCCAAAGAATGCTATGGCATCACCAAACTACCACTCCCAGGATCCCCTAGCATTGAGCCATGGGTCAAACTGCATCAATTCTAAGTTCCAGGTGTAGCATCTTGACTGAGATATCCCCCCCCCCCCAAAAAAAAATCCAAACAAGCTAATTCCCTTTTTTCCTTTTTGTTCTAGGTTGCCAAGAAAGGTTGCCAACACTTTGTTTGTTCATCTGGTAAATAAGTCCTAAGTTGCCTTTAGGACCATCCTTCTGTCACCATGTGGAGTTGGGGATTATGGGGTTTGGGGTCCAGCGCATCTGGAGGGCACCAGATTGTAGGGTACAGTATCACAAACATGTTGTTTAGGCCCTGGATGTACAACAGTAACTTTCCCAGGCCTGGCTGTAGCTACTTCTGTGAAATAGATCGTAAAGTGGGCTCACCAATCCGTCTCCACTAAAGAGGTCTGGAAAAGAGTTACCCTTGGGAAAGACGGTCTTTCTAAATGAAGTGTCYCATGCCCAAATTCTTCTATGACAGTTCTTCTTGAAATGGTGACCCGCTTCAGAATGCTATTTGGAGAGGGGCTGCAAATGGAGTTGGGTGGGGGGGGGGGGGTGGCTACGAGGTTATTTATTTATCGTATCAGAAGCGAACCAAGGGTACAGTTGTAATGTATTTTTAAAAACGCAAAGTTTAAAAACTTGGCAATTATATTAAATATCCTTTGACCAGTAGCTAGCCATTTGGAGTGCCTCTGGTGTTGCTATAAGAAGGTCCTCCATTGTGGATGTGGCAGGGCTCAGACTGCATTGTAATAGGTGGTCTGTGGTTTGCTCTTTTCCACACTCGCATGTCGTGGATTCCACTTTGTGGCCCCATTTTTTAAGGTTGGCTCCGCAACTTGTGGTGCCAGAGCACAGTCTGTTCAGTGCCTTCCAAGTCACCCAGTCTTCTGTGTGCCCAGGAGGGAGTCTCTCATCTGGTATCAGCCATGGGTTGAGGTTCTGGGTTTGAGCCTGCCACAGGCATGTAGCCGGGGGGGGGGGGGGCTTGGGGGGCTTTACCCCCCCCCCCAAATTCCTTACTGGTGCATTATTTGAACTGTTATGTATATTCATATTATGATCTGATCACCATACTCAATATATCCTATATACATGGGGGTATTGGGGTAACGATACAAAAGGTTTGCTAGGGTACACCCTCTTTCACTCAGACTCAGCCCCCCCACATCAAACTCAGCCCCCCCCAATCAAAATTCTGGCTACAGGCCTGGCCTGCCACTTTTGGACTCTTGCTTGCTGAGGTGTTCCTGCAAGTATCTCTGTAGATCTTAAGAGGCTCTTTCTTGATTTAAGGTGTTGGCATGCTGGCTGATATTTGAACAGGGGGTGGGTGGGAGATGTCACTGCCTTGGTCCTTTCATTATTGGCTGCTACTTCCCGGCAGATGTCAGGTAGTGCAATACCGGCTAAACAGTGTAATATCTCCAGTGGGGCAGGGCGCAGACATCCTGTAATAATGTGGCATGTCTCATTAAGAGCCACATCCACTGTTTTAGTGTGGTGAGATGTGTTCCACACTGGACATGTGTAAGCAGCAGCAGAATAAAAAATGGCAAGGGCAGATGTCTTCACTGTATCTGGTTGTGATCCCCAGGTTGTGCCAGTCAGCTTTCATATGATATTGTTTCTAGTGCCCACTTTTTGCTTGATAGTCAAGCAGTGATCTTGTAGGTCAGAGCATGATTCAGAGTGACTCCCAGGTATTTGGGTGTGCTGCAATGCTCCAGTGGGATTCCTCCCCAGGGAATCCTCAGAGCTTGAGATGCTTGTCTGTTCTTAAGATGAAAAGCACACATCTGCATTTTAGATGGATTAGGAATCAGCCAGTTTTCCCAGTAATAGGCAGTAAGAGCATCTAAAGCTTCGAAGAGCTTCTGTTCAACCATCTCAAAGCTCTATTCTTGAGCGGTGATAGCACGATCGTTAGCATAGATGAAACTCTCTGTCCCTACGAGGTTGGCATTGGGATACTTGGGGATGTTTTTGTGGGTTTAAGGGGCTTTTGGCACAGAAATCCAATGCTTTTCTGCTCTCCAGGAGGCAACGCTGGTCTTGCTGCAGCATATGCAGCCAGGAAACTTGGTGTCCCCATCACAGTTGTTGTCCCCAAGAGCACCGGAGAGGTGACGGTGAAGCGACTTGAGGAGCAAGGGGCCAAGGTGGAGGTCTTTGGGCAGGTAAACCGAGGACGATGGAGTGTCAAATGTTATGGGCAGTGCCATAGCGGATGACATGACTCATTGAGATGTTTCTGGTTCCGACAGGCATGGGATGAAGCTAACCACAGGGCCATGGAGATCTCCAAGCAAGATGGCTGGGTCAGCATCCACCCTTTCGACCATCCGTTAGTATGGTAAGAACATCAACATGTCAATCTGGCCTCTCTCATAGGTAGCCCCAACTTGCAGCCTTTATCTTGTAGTTGTGGCCCCATCCCACCTATCGGTTTCTTTTGCAGGAGAGAAGGGCTGGGGTTGGGCAAGGTCTCCTCACCTTCACCTCCAATCCTCAATACAAGAATCAGAGGATGTTTAAGACCACGAAAATGTGATATTTTAATGGTCCTTACCAAGCTATTGGGAAGCCCTTGGTGGTGTAGCGGGTTAAATGGCTGAGCTGCTGAACTTGCTGACTGAGAGATCAGAGATTTGAATCCAGGGAGCGGGGTGAGCTCTCACTATGGGGCCCAGCTTCTGCCAACCTAGCAGTTCAAAAACATTCAAATGTGAGTAGATCAATAGGTACAGCTTCTGAGGGAAGGTAATGGCGCTCCATGCAGTCATGCTGGCCTCATGACCTTGGAGGCGTCTACAGACAATGCCGGCTCTTTGGCTTAGAAATGGAGATGAGCACCAACCCACAGAGTCAGTCACGACTAGACTTACCGTGAAAGGAAAACCTTTACCTTTACCTTTACTAAGCTATTGGTTTGGGCTCATGAATCAACTTCATTTTAAAAAGTAACTCTTTAGTTCCTCATTTCTCAAAAGTATCTATCAGAGTGACTGTCAGAATGGGATATGGCATGAGCCGGCGCAGAACCGTGTGATTCTCCTCCTCTATTTCCTGAGAAGGCCACCAACACTGCAGCCAAACAGTGACTCTTATACCACTAAAAAGAGTGGAATCATCTTATGTTGAATCATAGTAGTAACACATTACTTCCAGTTCCTCCTCTTCTCCTTACAGGAAGGGTCATAACACAATCATCAAGGAGTTGAAGGACTCCTTGGATGCCAAACCTGGGGCCGTAGTGCTGTCTGTGGGAGGCGGAGGCTTGTTGGCTGGAGTGGTATCGGGTCTTCAGGAGGTCGGTTGGCAAGACGTGCCCATCATTGCAGTGGAGACCAGAGGAGCCGACAGTTTCAATGCCGCCGTCAATGCAGGGAGACTGGTCACTCTACCTGCTATAACCAGGTGGGACTTTTGGGCTAGAGTTGGAGTCCACTTTCTTTTCACCCTCTGCTTCAGAGAATAGGTGCCTCATCACACTAGAGAAAAAATCCACTTAAAATCTGGTTTCTGCCTCCTGCAGAATTCTGGGGTTTGTATTTTAGGGAGGAGTCTTTAATACCCTCCCTAAACTACAATTTTTATTTATTTATTTAGAACTTTTATATCCCGTTCTTCTCTACCTCCGTGGAGGGACTCAGAATGGCTAACAGCAAGAATTCAATGCTAGACAATAAATAACAGTTTAAAAACATACAAATACAATAAGTTAATAATACATATAAGTTAAAAAATACAGATAAACCAATTCGCCAAGTTAAAATATCATCCAACTCATTCTGCACATTGTGGTCCAATAGCTCTTAGTCCATCACCCTGCGAATGCCTGATTCCAAAGTCAGGATTTCACTTGCTTCCTAAAGGTCAGGAGGGAGGAGGCAGACCTAACCTCATTCGGGAGAGAGTTCCATAGCCGGGGGCCCACCACAGAGAAGGCCCTGTCTCTCATCCCCACCAAGCGTGACTGTGAAGGTGGTGGGACCGAGAGCAGGGCCTCTCCGGAAGATCTTAAAGCTCTTGATGGTTTATAGGGGAGAATATGTTCGGAGAGGTAAACTGGGCCGGAACTGTGAAGGGTTTTGTAGGTTAAAATCAGCACTTTGAATTGTGCTCAGATGCTAATTGGCAGCCAGTGGAGCTGGTGTAACAAGGGAGTTGTGCACTCCCTGTACCATGCTCCTGTGAGCAACCTGGATGCCAAGCGCTGGACTAGTTGGAGCTTCCGGGCAGTCTTCAGAGGCAACCCCATGTAGAGTTGCCCAGAATTCTGCAGGAGGCAGCAACTGGATTAAAAGTGGATTCATTCCCTAGTGTGATGAAGTAGCCTGACACACTGGATTCAAATTGCCAGAAAAGAATCTCTACCTCAACCTTAGGAAGAACTTCTTGACTGTAAGCAGCAGCGCTCCATCCTTGGAGGTCTTTAAATAACAGTTGGATGGTTTTAGCTGGGCATTCTTTCATGATGTGGGGCTGAATTAGCTGGTTTCTGGGGTCCTTTGCAGTGCTATGATTTTATGATTCTAGGAACCTCGCCCCTTATTTCACCAGTGGGCTGAAATGCCCAAGCAGAATGCAAAGGAGAGGAGGCATAGTCCCTAATACATAAAGAACCCAATTGAGATAAGGACACAGAGACAATCCAGAAACCCGTAGTGGTCTGCTAACCTTGGGGCATATCTTTGCTTGAATTCCCCCCCCCCCCCCCGGCTCATTATTCTTCCCTGTTCCTTCCTCAGCGTGGCAAAATGCCTTGGGGCCAAGACGGTGGCCCAGCGGGCTTTGGATTGTACCAAAGAGTGCCAGATCATCTCCCATGTGCTGGAGGATGTGGAAGCAGTGAAAGCAATAGAGCAGTTCCTGGGTGAGTTTCCAAGCTTGGCAATGAGACAGAGTGAGAGGTGGGCACTGGCTTGGTAGTGGCTCCAGCCCTGGCATAAGAAATTCCATAGTTAAGTATGGGAATGTTCAGCAGATCATCCCTACCCCTCTTCCCCAACTTCCCCTTATCTTCCAGTTGTGTCATAACTATAATGCCCATTGGCAGTCATGCCAGTTGTGAGTGATGGGATCTGTAGTCCCAATACACCAAGTGGGAAGCACCAGATTTATGGTGCATATAGGAGAGGATGGTTTGAGATCCTGTCTAGGTCCTCCAGTGTGATTCCAAAGTATGCTTCCAATAATCAAAATGCAGGGTTCTCCAAGCCATTGGCCTCCAGATGTGTTGCGACTATAATACTCATGCCAGTTGGGGGTGATGAGACCTGTTGTTCCAATACACCAGGTTGGAAGCACCAGGTGTATGGTGCATATGGAAATAGATGGTTTGTGGGCCTCTGTAGGTCCTTCACTGCAGTTCCAAGGGATGCTTCTGCCCCATGTATAGTCAAAATGTAGTGTTCCCCATGGATACAGGGGTCATACTGTGTTCCAAAACCATGTTTTTCTAGTGTTGAGAAACCCTAAGGAGAAGATGATCTGACAAGAAGCAATTCAAGATATTTTGGGGTTAACATTGCCCAGCTGGAGTAAGCACCATTGACCTCAAATGGGACATTTCCAAGCCTTGCCTCTTTTAGCTTTAGTATCCTGTGATACAGAAGGCTTCTCCTGACCTCCTTTGCCTTCCCCAGATGACGAACGGACGCTTGTGGAGGCAGCCTGTGGGGCCTCTTTGGCCTTCATCTACTCTGGCTGCCTCCAGAGGATACAGGAAGAGGGACGGCTGAGCCAGCAACTGGATTCGGTGGTCCTCATCGTGTGTGGTGGTAACTCCATCCGAATGGAGGAGCTCCAGGCCATGAAGAACCAACTGGGCATGAAATAATGGGAGGGGGATCTTCTTGAATTCGGCTCCCTCTTGAGGCAGGTTTCATAGAATTGTAGAATCCTAGAGTTGGAAGAGATCATGAGGGCCATCTAGTCCAACCCTTCTGCTAGGCAGGAAAAATGTGACTTCTTTGCCCCAAATTAGGCCATATGCCTAGAGTCTGGAGGGTCTTGGCAGCCAATTTTGGGTCTTCCAGAGCAGCTGAAGGAAATAATTGGGTGGTGCCGGAGGCTGGAGGTCCATGCAGTCCCATGGCCCGCAGTGGGCCTGATTTGGCACATGGGCTATGCAATCCCCATTGTGTTCTTTCACACCAACCTGGATGCCATCAGATGGAGGCATTTGGTGCCAGGAAGAAGGCCTCCTTCCCCACTAGTTGAAATTCCCAAATGATTTTTGATTCGTCCACTCAGCTGGCATCTCAAATGGTGTGTGGTATCAGCCTAGTGCCAATACCTGAATTATTTTTAACATCATATCTTTGCAAAGTCTCCAATGATAGCATTGCAGTTCCACTTTAACTGCCACCACTCCATCCCATGGACTCTGTAGTTCATGGAGGTCCTAGAAACCAAGAAATCTAAATGCACCTCCTTAAACTACAATTCCCAGATACAATAGAAAGCCGACAAGGCAGTTAAGGTGGAATCATAGGGCTACAGTTTTGTGCAATTCAGCCCTCCACATTCCCCAGGGTGGAAAAAGCGTGAATTTAAAAATACTGTTTATAACAACTTTATAAGAATCTCTCGGTCCTCCACCACCACATGCTGATCACGGAATTGCACTGGAGGATCTTGAGATGTTGAGAACATTTTCATCAAATCTGTGAATATTTACATCCACGAAAGTCAAACCAACAAATCTGGAGGGTTGACTGTATGGTGAAAGTGTGCCAAACCTTGGCTGGGAATGAGACAGGAATATGGCTGTAAACCAAGCACCGATGTGCTGGAGTGAATTTCAGTGAATTTCAGCTAGTCATCCTTGAATCCCGTGGACAGCGCACCACCTCCGCACTATATGTTCCCCTCACCTGTTTGTAAGGCTGCCGATTGTCTGGTGTGTGAGGAGCTGTGTTTACAGAGCGCTGTTACCAAGTAGCTTCATTGCCTAAAGCACACCAGGGGCAAAGCTCACCGGTTGAAAGCATCAGTCTTCATTGTTTGTGCTCCGACACAATGCTTCACAGGGAGTTGGAGGGAAAGTACACAAATCTGTATTAGGTTTTCCGGGTTGGAATTAAACACTGCATTAATCCTCTGTCTTAATTCTCTTCATCAATGGGCAAAGGACCGAGATCCTCTCAATTGTTCTTTAGCCTTTTCATGGAACTTCTGAGCCATGTATGGTCTTCACCTCCTGGCTTGCCAACTTATGGGGTAGGCTTTTGGTTTTCAATTGATGGGATGAAAAAAAAAGGATCATCACAGTCTTACTGTCTGAAGTGGGACAGAAATGCAATCCAAGCCAAATCCAGGGATGTAATCCCACAGATGTGGGCACAGATGTGGTACAATAGGAAGAAGCCCCTTAAACAAAGATGGCAGTTTGTACAAATTCAATAACTATTTGCTGCCCTTCTCTAATGGCTAGCATCTGCTAGAATATTCTTTGTATTCCTTGAACAGTAGGACTGGTCCTTGGTATCAAATTTCATAGATACGTAATGGCAAGCTTTCAAAATTTCAAGGAGGTCTCCAAGGGGCTGAATTCAGCTCCTATATAGCTTCAGAACCATGGAAAGCTCCTTGAAACCCAAGTGAATGCATTGACAAACCCATGGATTTGTAAAGAGAGCAGCAGTGGCCATGACCTTAATCTGGAGTTGTAGTACATAGAGGGAACCTTCTGATGGATTATGTTGTTAGTCTCAACTAAAGCAGGCCCATTGTGTGCTCAACAATGGGATATTCCTGCTGAAGACTGACTAAAGGTCCATCTACACTGTAGAATAAATGCAGTTGTATACCACTTAAAGTGCTTGGGCTCAATACTGGAGGACCCTGCGAGTTGTTGTTTGGTGAGGCACCAATAACCTTTGACAGAGAAGGCTCAGGCAATGGAAAGTGGGCTTGGGAATGAGGATGAATTGAGGATCAACCCACAGAGAGACACAGTGCCATGCAACGCTTCCTCTGACAGACCACCCTCCCACTTAGGTCTTGAAAATGCTGTTTACATGTATTTCGATTTATTGAAATGGATGCGCTCTCCAGGGTGAATATTATTATTGTTTACCCCATCAATATTTATCTACAGTCAGATTGTTTTGACTGTGGCGCCACACTTTTAATTAGCAAGTGGGCTTTCTCCGACTCGTTCCTTTGCTACTGTCTCCCTGCATTATTGTCATAATTATTTTTAATTATGGCTACCTTTGCCTGTTGCTGCAGCTCCTTCCGGCTGCAAATCAGATGAGAATGAAGTGATGGTCGCTGGGGCGGAAGAGCAAAGGATTCTCCATTTGTCATGCCCACTTTTCTGGTCAAACCCATTCAGTTCTTGGCCGGCAACTCATTGCAAATGGGCCATATTTGAGTTGCAGGATCCCTTTTCCCACAGCCTAGAGCATGCAACAGGATAAAATATCACAGCGAAGCTATTATAATGACTCTCAACAGCAGCTATTAGTTAGTCAAATATTGAGTATTGTTAATATTCATGAATATGAAGGTTGGGTAAAAGTGAAGGTTTTCCCTTGACATTAAGTCTAGTCGAGTCCAACTCTGGAGAGTGGTGCTCATCTCCATGTCTAAGCCAAAGAGCCGGTGTTGTCAGTAGACGCCTCCTAGATCATGTGGCCAGCATGACTGCATGGAGCACCAAAGGATGGGATCCTGCAGCAAACATATTCATGCTTTGGTTACACTCTGCCTCCTGATCTGACTCCCCAAATCAAGCCCCCTCCCATCCAATGGCAACAGGAAGGCTTCTGTCTGCTGGAGATAGACTTTTCTTAGGCGGTTGAATGGGACTTGCCTTCCCCATTTGGGACCATTTCTTCCCTGCTTCTCCCTCTTTTCCCTTCTTCTTTTGGTTCATGATAAATTGCCCTGGTCAGACCGCCCCCAGGAGATGTTTTGGGTTGAGGGAATCCCATAAATCATAATGCCGAACCTCCCTCCCAGTTCCAAAAGGAAGGGAGAAAAGTGCTTACAAAGAATGTTGGGGACTGTCAAACCCTGCAGTTGTTTGGTCGGTTGGTCAGTCCTTCCTTCCCTCCCTCTTTCCCTCCTTCCAAACTTTAAAGACACAATCCAAGGGTACATCTACTTAATGCAGTTTGATAGAAACACTTAATGCAGCGTGATACAATTTTAACCATCATAGCACCATGCTATGGAACCCTGGGAGTCATAGTTTGGTGAGACCCTGGCACTCCTCGGCAGAGAAGGTTCCAGACCTTGTCAAACTACAACTCCAAGGATCCCATAGAACGGAGCCATGGCAGTTTAAGTGGGGCGCAAGCTGCTTTACTTCACTTTAGGTTTTAGTCTTATCTGCAAGGGAGCTATCCAAGGTGCTGGCTATTTCCCCAAATAAGGCTGGCACCTCGGATAGCTCTCCCTCCTCCCATTTTCCTAACCCATAAGCATACCTCTTCTCATCCTTATTGTTCTTCTCTAAACCTGCTCCAACTTGTCTATACATCTTTCCTAAAAGGAGCTAACCAGAACCGAATTTCAGAAGAAAGGAGAACTGAACTAAGTTTGATGAGACTCCATAATCACATTAGACTTCTATGCATTTGGGTCAGATCTGATTGAAAATCCTCAAAAGTGCCACATGGCCAAAGAAAGCCCCAAAGCACACTGACTACCATAAAACATTAATAATAGCACAGAGTCCATAAATTGCCCGGCACCTTCAATATTCATAATAACCAAGATACGAGTGAAAGTCTATGTTCTGTTTTACAATCTGTAAAACGTATGCAGACCACAGTGCCAGAGATAATCAATAAACACAAAAACATACTTTATTTGTTTCTTCGTTATACAAAATAAAGAAACTAGGCGCCAAAAAACTATCATACATCCTTAAACACACGGAGCCTCCGAAGAAGTTTTGGACTAGATTGGTATTTGCTAGCGGTAGCCTCAAATGTGCCGTTGGTTTTATTGGCAGTCGTGGTTCGATTCCCACCCAAAATATAATAATAATAATAGAATTATATTAATTATAATAATAATCTGAATAATAATAATAATAATTAACCGAATCAAATATCCTTTCCCAAAGCACTCCCCCCCCTCCAGTTAAATTAAGTCCTTGAAAGTCGATCCAGCACTTACCACCAGGGGGAGGCGCATCACCAACGAAACCTCCCTTTCCTCCTATACAAAATAAGCCTCCGAATTCAAATAAACAGGTTCTTGCTCGAAGAAACAAACCAACCAAAAAGGCCCAAAGCGAAAGCAACCCCTTTCCTCCACCCGCCCCACTCCCCCCACAAAGTAGACCCAATCCCCAAACCAAAGACGCGATCCTTCAGTCTGCGAAAAAGAGACAAGTCCAGCTTTGGTCCACAGAGGAGTTCGCGAAGAATGTCCCGAGATTCGCTGCCAGAGGAAACAAGGGGATCGTTGAGTGGGTTTGTGTAGGGATCTGCCTTTTGCTGCCCCCTCAACTGAGATACAAAACATCCCCCTTCAAACCCCTCCATCACAAAGGCATGGTCCATTTATGGTCCTGGCATACCAATACCTCTGGCAAAAGAGGCTCTGTTTTGGCATTCCCACGCCTCCAGTGAAAGAGGTGCTGTTTGAGTGTACCCATGCCCCCAGCAAAAGAGGTGCTGTTTCGGCATCGTGGTGGTTGACATTTCGGGTATCTGCAGTTCTGATCCTCCGATGGAGCAGATGGGGGACATCAGAGCATGGGATCCGGGCTCCCAAGGAGTCATAGCATGGGGAACACAGGGCTGTGGTTGGATGTCTCCGGTGCCACCTCCTCTCAGGAGCCCTCTACCACACGGTTGTCTCGTTGAGCTCCTGGTTGGGGTGCGAGAGAGGCCCGCTGCTATAGCCAGACATGGCGAAGGGAGGGCTGGGCCCACTGCTGAAGACTTCGCCAGGAATAGGGTGCAGGGAGCTGGGCAGGCCTGGTTCAGGGCTGGGGGTGTCGGGGTGAGAGATCATATCCGTGTACCTTTGGTTCTCGGACGAGTGGTGCCCGGGGAGGGGGGGTTCCAGTGGACCAAGCGGAGTGGAGCCAGCCCCTGAAGTCGGGATGTAGCTGGAATCAGCCGGGGACTGGGCCTGTGATGGAGGGCCATGCGGGAAGAAGTCGTAGTTGCTGCCGGGACCATAGTAGTCACCCTGGTAATCTAGAGAGAGGAGGAGAATGGAAGATGATGGTTAGATCAGATGGTCCTTTGCATCAGAACCAGAGCAAGGCCTTCCTTGAGCAGAATGACCCCATCTTGACCACTTATGGTTAAATCAGCTGGTCCTTCACACCAGAACCAGAGCAAGGCCTTGCAGGACAGAATGACCCCATCTAGACCACTTATGGTTAGATCAGATGGTCTTTCACATCAGAACCAGAGAAAGGTCTTCCTTGAGCAGAGTGACCCCACCTTGTCCACCTATGGTTAGATCAAATGGTCCTTCACATCAGAACCAGAGCAAGGCCTTCCTCAAGCAGAATGACCCTCATCTTGATCATCTTTGCTTTAAAAGTTGAGAAAAAGCTCTAGGCCAGTGGTTCCCAAACACTGGTTCTCCAGATGGTCTAGACTTCCACTCCCAACCATGTTGGCAAACAATAACGAATTCTGGGATCTGAAGTCCTCTGACCTGCACAAGTCTCCTACCAATCTAGTTCCAAGAGAAACCCAGGACAGATTTGACTGGAAGCTAATGCCAGCTTCAATGGCTTCATTATCCTAACCAAAGGAATATTTGGGTCATTCCAGGAAACTATGGACAATTTCCTCTGGAAGACAAACATTGTAGAACTGTGCAATTTTAATCCCTGTTGACGAAAATCCACTTTCAAAGACCCAAATCCCCAACCAACCTCCATCCCATTATCAAAAACGAAACTCGGTCCATTAATAACACAAACCAGCCCAGTCAACTATGGCATCAGCTCTCCCAGTTTTAGGCCAGGTTTTATCCCAATCAGACTTGGAGCTCTGTTCCTAAGCAGAATCTTTCTTTCTTTCCTTCCTTCCTTCCTTCCTTCCTTCCTTCCTTCCTTCCTTCCTTCCTTCCATACATTCACACTGTCTTTGTGACCCTAAATTAATTCACTCCTTCTAGAAAGAGAAGGGAAAGAAGTCTTGAGGCCTTTTCAAGAAGAAATGGTTCATTTCAAAGTGAGTTTTTGGGGCTTATCATGCTCCACTACTGCAGATGGAGTCCTCAGTGTAACTTTAGATGCATCTACACCAGTGGTTCCCAACTTATTTTTGACCAGGGATCACTTGGCCAGAGACCACTTGACCAGGGACCACTTTGACCAGGGACCACTCTGCAACATTAGGACCAAAAGGGTTATGAATCAGTTTTTGGTCAACTTTAGATTCGGTTTGGTTATTTGGGGTGCATTGTATAGACCACATCAGTTCTAATTTCTGATACAGAATATATGCCATCCAATAGTCACCTTCTACTCGCCCACAGAAAACCATATTTAATAAGTCTCTGCACTATAAGAGGATTTTTGCGAGATCAGTCACTCTCGTTGCAATGGTGTAGTAATGGTGAGGTCGTGGACCATATTTTAATTCTTGTGGACCACTGGTGGTCCACAGACCACAGGTTGGGAACCATTGACATAGATAGATGCATGGAGACAACACCTCTTTGTGTTGAAGCAGCCCAACTCTCAAATGGCAAGTGGCCTCCTCCCCGCTATAAAAAACAACAATAGACCGATAAATGCACATCTTGGTGAAAACAGACAAAAACGGTACTGGGAAAATGGGACAAAGCTATGTACGAAATGACAAAACCATTTGAAGCGGACTTCTGAAAGAACCACATAAGTGTCTTCTGAATCAGCCAAAGTCAAGCTAATGGGAAAGGGAAAGCTGAGCTAAGAAGCAACCTAGGAAACTCTCCACCACTTGAATAGAACTCTATAGGTTCTCCACAACAGGATTGCAATTTCGTTGGCAATACCTTTGCTCCAAAGCCTCCTTTTCATTGCTGTTTTCTTCTCCGAAATGTGAACAAAATGCACAGAAGGGGGAGGAAAGGGGTGTGTGTATGATTTAATCCTGGCTTTAATCTTTGGAAACCAACGGCTTAGGCTCTGGTGTTAACCAGCACTTGCTTTGAACCTATTTGCCAGTGGGACAGGAAATCCCCTTGACCCCTCCGAGCCAAGCCAGTTAGGATCGGGAGCAAAATGAGGATTTAGAAAGCAGCGGTGGGATTTTTTTTTGGGGTGGGTGGGGAGGAACACAACTTTATTGGCCGAAACTTTAAACTAGGTTGAATGTTTAAAGAACCTTCTCCTATTCCTTTCTTCCTTGTCTTTGGGGGGGGGGGGGGGGGGGGGGGGGGAGGAGGGCAGGAAAGAGAATGTTAATGCCATTAAAGGACCAGCAAAACCTCTTTGAAAAGGGCCTCAAAGCTGGGACAAAAGAAGCCAAAGCTGGTGGGGAGAAATTAGATGAATCTGTGACTTTTTTGCTTTGGGTCTCAATCAAGAGAGTAAAACATGGGAGGATAATAATAATAATAATAATAATAATAATAACAACAACAATAATAATTTGTATGTATATCCTGCTTCTTCTTTCCCAAAGGAGACTCAAAGTTGCTCACACTAAAATGGTACAAATTATTATTATTATTATTATTATTATTATTATTATTATTAATAATAATAATATCATATTACTTCCTCTCTACCAAAGAAGACTCAAAGTGGCTAACACTAATAATAACAATATACTATTTGTATTTATATTCCATACAAATAATAATAATAATAATAATAATAGTAATAGTAATAGTAATAATAATACATTTTTATTTACATCCTGCTTCCTCTCTCCCAATGGAAACCAAAGTGGCTAACACTAAAAATCATACCTGTTGTTGTTGTTGTTATTATTATTATTATTATTATTATTATTATTATTATTATTTATACCCTGCCTCCTCTTTCCCAAAGAAGACTCAAAGTGGCTAGCCCTAAAAATCATGCAAATAATAATAATAATAATTATTAATATCATCTTACTTCCTCTCTCTCAAAGAAGACTCAAAGTGGCTAACCCTAATAATAACAACAATATACTATTTGTATTTATATTCAATACAAATAATAATAATAATCATAATAATCATAATAATAATAATTTTTATTTACATCCTCTCTCCCAATGGAGACCAAAGTGGCTAACACTAAAAATCATACCTATTGTTATTATTATTACTATTATTATTTATACCCTGCCTGCTCTTTCCCAAAGAAGACTCAAAGTGGCTAGCACTTAAAATCATACAAATTATTATTATTATTATTATTATTATTATTATTATTATTTTGATCATGCCTTCTCTCTCCCAAAGGAGATTCAAAGTAGCTAACACTACTACTACTACTACTACTACTACTACTAATAATAATAATAATAACAACAACAACAACACTATTGTGTAGGAAAAGCACAATCAAAGCACCCCTGACAGATGGCCATCCAGCCTGTGTTTAAAAGTTTCCAAGGAAGAAGCTTCCACCACACTCTGAGGCAGGGAGTTCCATTGTTGAACAGCTCTTCTTGCAGTCAGGAAGTTCTTCCTAGTGCTCAATGGAACCTCCTTTCCAACAATGTGAACCCATTGCTCTGAGTCCTAGTTTGAAGGACAGCAGAAAACAAACCTTCTCCCTCTTCCTTAGGACAGCCTTTCCAATATTTATACATGGCTCCTCTCATTTCTCCTCTCAACCTTCTCTTCTGAGGTTAAACAGACCCAACTCTTTACGATGCTCCTCAGAGGGATTCATGGACATTTGATCATTTTAGTTGCCCTCCTCTGGACTCTTTCCAGCTTAGAATCAATATCTCTCTTGAACTGTGGTGCCCAGAATTGGACACAGTGTTATTCCAGGTGAGGTCTGACCAAAGCAGAATAGAGAGGCACCAGGACTTCCCTTGGTCTGGATACTAGACTCCTTTGGATGTAACCCAAAATCCCAATGGTTTTTCAAGCTGCTGCATCACACTCCTGGCTCATGTTCAATTTCCTGTCCATGAAGACTCCAAGATCTTTCTCACATGTACTGTTGTCGAGCCAGGCGTCACCCATCCTGTATCTTCTGATTTTCATTTTTTCTGCCCAAGTGTTGTATCATACATTTCTCCTGGTTGAAGTGTGTCTTGCTTGGTCTTAATTTGCTTTTCATGTCTTTCAATATTCAAATCAAGTCCATACAGAGTATATGGTATGGTATATCATATTAGTTAGGCCTCTTTTTAAAATAGGAAGTCTCAGGCAACCAGATACAGCGTTTATTATCCAGCACCTAGCTATCCCCATTGGGTCAAGAGAGTCTCTTCTATTCTTGTTTCCCAGTTCTCCCTAAGTCAGTGGTTCTCAACCTTCCTAATGCCGCGAGCCCTTAATACAGTTCCTCATGTTGTGGTGACCCTCAACCATAAAATTGTTTTTGTTGCTACTCCATAACTGTAATTTTGCTACTGTTATGAATCGTAATGTAAGTATCTGATATGCATTCACTGGACCAAATTTGACACAAATACCCGATACGCCCAAATCTGAATACTGGTGAGGTTAGGCAGCGGGTTGATTTTGTCATTTGGGAGTTGTAGTTCCTGGGATTTATAGTTCATGTACAATCAAAGATCATTCTGAACTCCACCAACGATGGAACTGAACCAAACCTGGAACACAGAACTCCCATGTCCTACAGAAAATACTGGAAGGGTTTGGTGGGCATTGGCCTGGAGTTTGAGAGTTGTAGTTCACCTACATCAAGAGAACACTGTGGACTCAAAAAATAATGGATCAGGACCAAAATTTGGCACAAGCACTCAATACACCCAAATATGAACACTAGTGGAGTTTGGGGAAAATAGACCTTGACATTTGGGAGTTGTAGTTGCTGGGATTTATAGATCACCTACAATCAAAGAGCATTCTGAACCCCACCAACAATAGAATTCCCACACAGAACCCCCTCGGCCAACAGAAAATACCGTGTTTTCTGATGGTCTCTGGCGATCCCTGTGACACCCCCCTTGTGACTCTCCCTGGGGTCCCAACCCCCAGGTTGAGAAACACTGCCCTAAATCTAAGCATCACCCTGAATCAAACTGAGCTGACCCACTGGATTCACTAGCTTTGCTTATGTGTTGTCTTAGGTTATTTCCTTGGGTCTACTTCATTGGGACTCCCTGATAGCATACAAAGGGGATCCAATCTGAGGACCCAACCCCCCTTTATGCTTGCAAGGTTCGGGTGTCACCGGCACAAATGCTATCTGAAAGAGGTACAAAAGCGGGGCAGATGGGGCTTTGTTCCTTGCAGCACATGGGGTAGGCTGGGGGGGGGGGGGTCCAAAGGGTCAGACACTTTGGCACACAAAGCCCCTTCCGCACTTGAGAGCAACCCTCTTTGAAGGACCAGCTCACCTTTGAGCCAAAAGGATGGAGAAGAAGATGCAGGAAAGAGGCAGGGAGGAATAATGACAACAGGAAAGGAAGGACAAAGAGAATACAAATGCAAGGGACTAGTAAGGAATGAAAGAGAGAGTGGGAAGGCGTGAGGGGAAGAAACTAAGGAAGAAGGATAGAGAAGAGGAAAGAAGGAAGGAAGGGAGAAAACAGAAAGGAAGGAAGGAGAGGAGAAAGAGAGTAAGAAAGGTAGGAAGAAGAAGAATAGGAAATAAGAAGAGAGAAAATAAGGAAGGATAGGAAAGAAAAGGAAGGAGCAAGTGAGGGAGAGAAACTATGGAAGAAGGATAGAGAAGAGGAAAGAAGATAGAATGGGAGAAGATAAGAAAGGAAGGAAGGAAGGAAGGAAGGAAGGAAGGAAGGAAGGAAGGAAGGAAGGAAAGTAGGAAAGGTCGGAAGAAGAAATAATAGGAAAGGAGGGAAGAAGAGAGACAATAGGAAGGAAAGATATAAAACAGAGGAGTGAGGGAGAGAGACGAAGGATGAAGATTAGAGAAGGAAGGAGAGGGAGTAAATAGAAAGGAAGGAGAGAGATGAAGAAAGGAAGGAAGAAGAAAAATACGAAAGAAGAAGAGAGGGAATAGGAAGGGAGGATAGGAAAAGGAGGGGGAGAAACTAAGGAAGGAGAACAGAGAAGGAAGAAGGAAGGAGAGAAAATAGGAAGGAAGGAAGGAAGGAAGGAAGGAAGGAAGGAAGGAAGGAAGGAAGGAAGGAGAGAGAGAGACTAAGAAGATAGGAAGAAAGAAAAATAGGAAAGCAGGGGAAGATATGAAAATAAGCAGGGGAGAGAAAAGTAGAAGGGCAGCAAAGATGGAAGGAACAAGAGAGGAAGGGAGTGAGGGAAGGGAGAAGAATAGGAAAGAAGGAAGGAGGGAAAGTAAATAAGAAAGAAAAGAAGGAAGACAGGAATGGGAAAGGAAGAAAAGAAGGGTAGGACAGTGAATAGGAAAGGAGGAGTCAGACTAGGAAAGAAAGTAGGAAGGAGAACAGGAAAAGAGGGAGAGAAGGAAAGAAAGAATGAGAGAAGGAGACAAAGAAAAGGAAAGAGAGGGGGGATTGCAGGAAAAAAAGAAAGAAGGGGAAAATAAAATGTGAACGAAGAAAGAGAGAGAGAGAGAGAGAGAGAGAAATGGAAGCTAGCATCCGGCAGAGTTGGATAAGAGAAAATGTGTGGAAGACGGGGAAAAGAAAGGAAAGGAGGATAACTGAGAGGCAAAAGGAAGGAAGAAAAGAAGGAGGTGTGTGGAGAAATAGAGAAAGCAAGGTGAATGCAATAGGCAGAAAAGGAGACAGGAAGGGGAGAAAATAAGTGAATGCAATAAAGAAAGTGAATGGAAGAATGAAAAAGCAAAATTAATGGGGAAGGAAGAGAAGGAAAACATGAGAAAGAAAAACACAATGTGCATGGGAAAAAGAAGGAGAAGGAAAGCAATGTGAACCAAAAGGGAAAAAGTCATAAGAGAAAGTGATAGTGAGTGGAAGAAAGAAAGAAAAACAAACAAGTGAAAAGGAAAGAACAGAGTGGATGAGAAAAAGACAAATTAAATAAATGGGAGAAGGGAGGAGAGGGAAAGCAAAGTGATTCTGGCAAAAGGAAAGCATGAGAAAGAAAAGAAGGGAATGGAAGAAGAGAAGCAAATAAAGTAGAAAAGACAATGGAGAGTGAGTGGGAGAAGTTGAAAAAGAGCTGGAAAGAAAAAAAGGAAGTGAAAGCAAAAGAGAAAGAAAGAGAAGAAAGTAAAGTGGAAAAAAGAAAGGAGGAAAGGTAAAGAGAGAAAAAAGCTGCAGGCAGCAAAGGGAGAAGAAGCAAAGTGTGGGAGAGAAAGAATGAATAGAAGAGAGGGAAATGGGGCAAGAAAAGGGAAGAAAGAGAATAGAAGAAAGTGGAGGAAAGTAAAGGATTGGAAGAAAGGAAGCAAGAGGATGTGGAAAGAAAGTCAGAAAGACAAAGAGAAAATGTAGAAGAGAAAGGAAGGTACAGAAAAGAAGAGGAGCAAAACAAAGTGAATGGGGAAGGTAGGAAAGAGGAAGGGAAGGGGAGAAAAAAGGGGGAAATGCAAGAAGTGGAAAAGAGAAAGAAAAGGACAGTGAATGAGAGAAAGGAAGGGAAGAGAAGCAAAGAGCAGGAAAGAGAAAGGAAAGTGAACAGATGAAGGGAAGGCATAGAGGTGAGAAAGAGACACCAGCAAAGGGATTGGGAAAAGGAGGGAAGAAAGAAATAAAGAGAGAAAGAAGGAAGGAAGAAGGAAGGAAGGAAGGAAGGAAGGAAGGAAGGAAGGAAGGAAGGAAGGAAGGAAGGAAGGAAGGCAGGCAGGCAGGCAGGCAGGCAGGCAGGCAGGCAGGCAGGGAAGGAAGGAAGGAAGGAAGGAAAGAAGGAAGGAAGGAAGGAAGGAAGGAAGGAAAGAAGGAAGGAAGGAAAGAAGGAAGGAAAGAAGGAAGGAAGGAAGGAAGGAAAGAAGGAAGGAAGGAAGGAAGGAAGGAAGAAGGAGAAGGAAGGGAGGAAGGGAGGAAGGAGAAGGAAGGAAGGAAGGAAGGAAGGAAGGAAGGAAGGAAGGAAGGAAGGAAGGAAGGAAGGAAGGAAGGAAGGAATCCAAGGTGAAAGGGAAGGGAGGCTGATGGGCAAGATCTGCTTACCTCCATAGTAAGTATAGGGTGTGGAGCCCAGCATCTCAGCATCGTCCAGCCGGCCACCCAAAGGGCGCATGCGCCGAGGACTCCGAAAGAAGGCATGCCTCCTGGCTCCTAAAGCGCTCAGCTGCTTCATCCGCCTCTCCTTAGATCTGCGGTTCTGGAACCAGACCTGTGCAGTAAGGACCAGAGGAAAGTCAGTGGAGGAGCCAACATGGAAAAGGCCCTGCTCTCAGAAAGTAGGGGAGTGTGCTATTCACATGAGGTTAAAGCGCTTTCATTCAGTAGTGTAGATGTACCCTTGGAAACCTTCCAAAGCAATACATTATACACCCAGGATAAATTATGCAGCCAAAGCCAAGAGGAGCAAAACAAGATGTGGTGCTGGTTACACAATAGACCTAATCATGCTGCAACACATCACAAAAAGTCACATATACCTTTAAGAAGTTTATAAATCTAGATTTAAAAAAACATAAATCAACCCGCCCATAACATGTATATACATTTTCAACAGTTTATAATTCTGAAGAAAACACCATGCACCCACCTCAAATATATGAGATGTTGATGATGATGTTTATTTATACTCTGCTTTATCTCTCCCAAAGGAGGCTCAAAGCAGTGTAGGATTCAAAGTATGACCACATAATTTAAAATATACAAATACGCAAACATTAATACGGTATACAGTGTCAACCCCCTGCAATTCTGGGATTTTGAGCACTTCCTTCCCCAAAAGCATATGCACTTTCTAAGAAGAGTTTATCATTCTGGATTCATTTTCTGGCCATCTTTTCACAAAATGTATACATTTTCAATATTTTATAATTCTGGGATGTTCTGACACTTTCTCCCCTTAAAAGCGTTGTACCTTTAACACTTTATAATGTTATTATTTTATAATTCTGGATGTTGTTTTGCACACACACACACCCCCAAAAGAAATATACTCTATCCATAAAATTTCAATAGCAGAGAAGCTTGGTGAAATGACATGGGAAACTTGACTGGGAAGGATACACCAGGCATAAGATGGCCATTTATGCTGGAATTCCTAACTCTATTGAAATCATAATATTCTTTCTTCCTTACTTAGCCTTCAAACAGTCACCAAAGCTTTCATGAGATTTTAAAGAGTTGATCCAATTTGATCCAATTTGAGGAGACACCCTCTTTGTCTACACTGTGGAATTGATGCAGTTTGACCACTTATAACTGTTACTCTTCAATGTGATGGAATCCTGGGTGTTGTAGTTTGGCACGCTTGGGCAGAGAAGGCTCAAGACTTGTCAAACTACAACTCCTAGAATCCCATAGCATGGAGCCATGGCAGTCCAAGTGAAGTCAACCTAGATACATTCAATAGTGGAGATGTGCCTAAATCTTGCCTGCTTCCCATTCATATAATTATGAAGCTTGAAAACGGAGGCTGGAAGGGGGCTTGAGAGGCCATCTAGTCCAACCCACCCTTCTTTTCAATGGGATGCCAATAGGCCATGTGGGAAATGGAAGAGACTCTCCTGTCTTAAATAAAAACCTCACAGGATGAAAATTAGTTTTAAAAAACCACAAAATATTTGATGGCAATTAAATAAAATACATGAAGACAATCCACAGAGGAGGAGATGTTGATTTCAATCATTTGTCTGATTGACATTCCTAGATTCAGGCTTGTTGTTGTGATAAAACTGGGAACCCCCCTCCTCCCAACCACCACCACCTTTACTAAAGGTTTCCTTTGTTTCAGGAAGAAAGAACCTCCCCAGATGCCAACACAATGCAGGGAGACCTTTTGTCTGGTCCCCAGGTTATGATGCCTAGTGAAGCTCATGAAAAGGCGCCCCCTTTTGGTGGACAGAGAGCCCTGCCTGGGAAGGAGCCATTTGCAGACCAGAAAAAAGACACCCCCCCCCCCCGCAAAACTAGGAGAAAGAAGATCAACCCAATGCCATCAATGGGTTTGCTCACTGAGTGAAAGTATGGAGACATGGACCACATTGATCAAACTCCTGGAGATCAAGCTTATGGAGGGATGCATTGGGTAGATTTAGCTTGGAAAACCAAAGACTTGATTGAACCATCTTTAAATATCTCAAGGGATGTCACATCAAAGATGGATCAAGCTTGTCTTCTGCTGCCCCGGAGACCAAGACACAAAGCAATAGCTTCACACTCAAGAAACGAGGTGCCATCTAAACATTAGGAAGAACGTCAGAGCTGTATGAGAGTGGGATTGAATGTTGGACTTGCCTTCTTTGGGCAACTTCAAACCAAAGTTGGGTGAGTGGATGCCTGCATGGAGGGGATTGATGTGGCCTTTGAGGCCCCTCCAAGATCTATTGTTCTCCATCTTACCTGGATGACTCTCATGTTGAGCCCTGTCTCTTGAGCCAGCTGCTCCCGAATATGCCGGGTAGGTTTAGGAGTGGCTGCAAAAGCTGCTTTGAGGGTCTCCAACTGCTTGGCTTTGATGGTGGTCCGGGGGCCCCTCCTTTTGGTCCCGGAGTTCTGCTCCTCGTTCTCATTGTTGGTGGTCTCTTTGTCCGAAGAGGTGGAATTGTCTGTCTCCTTTGGGTCATCCTGCATGGGGTCTTGGAGGTCTGGAGATAAACTCCGGTCAGTACAAGAAGACACTGTGGAGGGGAAAGGGGACAACTTAGTTGGGAAGAGGTCAGGAGGTGGAGTCAGAAGGGTCCATTGAGAGAAAAGCCATAGTGGGACCCAGCTCACCAAGCACTGTGTTCAACAGTGGTGCCAACAGAGCTGGACTTTGGGACACAAAGCTAGAGGCCATTCCCATAGAAAGGCCAGGGTGGTCCCCCATATCAGTCAGCCTGGCTCACCTTGTAAGGAAGAAAGCAAGCAAACGAAGACACAAGGCCCTTCTAAAGACTTGGAGCTGAGAATCTAAAGAGTCCTCTCAGGCTGGATCTACACTGCTCTCTCTCCCAGGATCCGATCTCAGATTATCTGCTTTGGACTGGATTATATGAGTCTCCACTGCCAGATAATCTGGGATAAACAGTTAATCTGGGATCAGATCCTGGAATATAGGGCAGTGTAGAAGGGGCCTCAGTTGCAACCATCAGGACTTCCTAAGCCTAACCCTAAGGAGACCTGTCCCCATCATCAATGGCATCCCTGGGCACAAACTACCCAGATTGGAATGGGGAAAGTAATTGAGGACTCACAAAGCCTTCAAGAAGTGAGAGAGGAATATCCTCTGAGACCTCCAGTCTCATCACCTTTCTGGTCCACTGGACTGAGCCAAGCCAGGCCAAAGTGTTATGGACCTGATCCTAAATGAACCAGGCTCTTCCCTGGCCTCAGCCTTTCATCCCATCCCACTTTTCTCCTCTCTCATTTCAGTTGTTTTTATTTGTTTTGTGTCCTTCTGGGAGTCTGGTGGGTTTCCAGCCAGATCTGGTACATTTCTGGTGGAAACAAAAATAAAAAGGTCTCCAGTTTGGTGTTTTGGATATGTTTCTTCTGTCTTCATTCCTATCCCTCTCTCTCTTTCTCTTTGGCACAAAAGGCCTGGTCCCATCTGTTCTCCACTCACTCAGCTGGTCCTGGAGGTGATCCCTTTGTAAGTGTGGGATTCAGGAAGCTTGGGAGGGAGGCATTCCACCTCCCCACCAAGCCCTCTTTTAAGGGATTAACCTTTCTTCCCCTAGTTATTTCTCCAGGAGGGAAAAAAACAACACCACAGAACCTTTAGGAACAACGTGGCTGCAATGTGACTGGTCCACAAACTATCCTTTTTCTCGACTCAGAAATGAGAAAGAGGACATGTCTCACCCAGCAGCCCCCCTTCCCTCTTTCTCACCCTCCCACCCAGCTGCATAGGGTCTCCAATAAAGGTGGATTCACTCCTGTCCCAGAGAGAGAGCAGCCCTTCCCTTCATGGATTAGAATGAAAAACAAATACATTTTCCCTTCCTATGTCTTTCTTCACCTCTCTCTTCCCACTTTTTCCTACCAGGACATAAAAGGAGACTGTAAGCTCTTACGGGACCAAAAAAGTGCCCAAACTGTAAATATATTAAATCCTAAAATGTGGATTTAATAAAGAAATAAAAACAAAACAACAGTATTTTCAGAGGGAAGGACCTATCTTCTTCCCCTGGGGAAGAAATCTGGGATGGGAGCTGAGTTGGTCTTCATCTATCCCTCCCCAGTTAGCCAACTTTGAGTCAAGTCTCTGACTGTTCAATTAAAGTTTGTGAGTCCCTTGGGGCAGGGACCTAGTCAGAAATGAATCCCACTAAGTTCAGGACAACCTGCTTCCAGGCAAAAGTAGATAATGATAAAATAATAATAATAATAATAATAATAATAATAATAATAATAATAATAATAATAATATCAGGCTCATAACTACTAATAGCAGGGCATTACTGCCATAGGACTGTCAACAGCAACTCACACATTTTTGCTTTTGGGCCATTTTCCATTGAAGGAAGTGGGTGCTGCCCAAGATTATTTGCTGCCTGAAGACCAGTGCCGAAAGTGTCCAGCTGCACCCAAAACTGATCTGATTGCTGTCCTGAACTTTTTATACAAGGCCTTTCCCCCAAAAAACTGGGATTCTAGGCAACTCACCAATTTAATACAACATTATTATTATTATTATTAACAACAATAATAAATGGTATGTCTTACTCGCCTCTCCTCAGGGTTGGAAGCAGGACATAACATAATTACCCCCCCCCTACTCTATRCCCTCCCTAGCTTACCCCACCCCCATCCAGTGTCGTTGAATGTTAGTATGTTGTGATTGTATYCTTGTTGTTTTTTWATATTTGGAAAATTCAATAAAGATCTTTTTTTWAAAAAACCAATCATCACCAAAACCTAGGGTGCCTCTACATTGCAGAATTAATGTCGCTTGACCCCACTTGAACTGCCATGGCTGAATCCTATGGAGTTGGCATTTGATAAGCTTTCTCTGCCAGAGGGRCCTTCCACACAGCCTTATATCCCAGAATATCAAGGCAGGAAATCCCACATTATCTCAGTGTGGACTCAGATAAACCAGTTCAAAGCAGATATTATGGGATTTTCTGCCTTGATATTCTGGGATATAGGGTTATGTGGAAGGGCCCATAGAGTGTCAGRGCCTCCCCGAAACTACAGTTCCCAAGATTCCATAGCCTTGAGCTAGGACAGTTACAGGAAGATCAAACTGCATTCACTCTACAATSGAGATGCCCACTTTGGAGACCTGGGGCCCTTCCAGACAGGCCCTAGATCCCAGAATAACAAGGCAGAAAATCCCACAATATCTGCTTTGAATTGGGTTATCTGAGTCCACACTCAGATAATGTGGGATTTTCTGCCTTGAGATTCTGGGATACAGGTCTGTATGYAAGGGCCCAGAGTCCACACTCAGATGATGTGTGGGGTTGTCTGCCTTGAGATTCTGGGCTGTGTGGATTGGCCCCTGGTGTTGCAAGCCTTACCTGAGTTGAGGCTGCCTTCTTTCAAGCTGGCTGAGCTCAAGTAGTCCTCCTTGCAGACGAACTTATTCTCGTCGATGATGTAGAGCTCCTCGCCGGTGGAGAGCTGCTTGTTGCACACCATGCAGGTGAAACAGTTCAGGTGGAAGACTTTGCCCCGGGCTTTGCGCACCAGGTCGGAGGGCGAGATGCCTTGGGCGCAGCCGGCGCATTTGGTGCCAAACCTCCTGGATTTGGGGAAGGGGAGGGGGCGAACAAGGAGACAGAAGGCAGGCAGTGAAATTGGGGAATAGACCAAGCTCCTTTTCCTGAGAGTGGATCTTTCCATCTCTTGCTTGGCCTTCAATAAGAACCGAGTTCCCGAGTTGACTCTCCAAAAAGGAGGGTTTGGGGAAGGACCCCAACGAAAGCCTGGGATTCTTGACCTCCCTTTCTTTACCTTGGTTCCATTCTACTTCTACTATTACTAGTACCGTTACTATCATTATTCTGGTTGTTGTTATTATTGTTGAGTGCTATGCGCCCCAAGAATGCTCCACAAAGGAGGCAGAGAAGTCCTCCACTCCAACGTCAGGAAGCCCTAGCCGTCGAAAGCATTGGTTTTAACGCGCATCTGGGACGGTTTGGAGGCTCGGGGAGGGGACAATGGGGACGCCCCTTTGTCCCTTCTCAAAGACCCCTCGAAATCTCCCCCTCCAAATGGAGACTCTTCTCCAAAGCCGTGCGTAAAAGTCGTGCGTAAAAGCCGTGCGTAAAGCTTGGCCGCCTCGGCTCTTGGAGACCTCGGAAACCCCTCCGAATGGTGAACTTTGGGGAGACCCCTGGCTTTTCCCAACTCCCCCCCCCCCCCTTACCCCATCTCTCCCAATGCTACTTTGCCCTTTCCAGGACTGGGATTGAGTGGAAACATGACCAATCTCTCCCGTCGGGGTTTTGCGCCCTGGTGCCACATCGCCACCTTCTCCAAAATGTCTCCAGTTTTTAAATGTGTTTTTTTTTCCTCTAAAGGGGAAAAAAGAGGCTTGAAAGATTCAAGAATCCGGAGCGGCCTCGCCAGGCCGTTCACATGTGCAAAGTCACTCATTCACATGCTTGTTTTTTGTTTTGTTTGTGTTTTCTCCGCCTCGGGGCCCGCCCGCCCGCCGGCCGAGCTGCGATTCTTTCGCCTCTCCAACACACCGGCGGCAGGAGCTCCATTAAGGGGCCCAGAGACAAAAGGCCAGGGCCGGCTTTACATTCCCAAATGAGGCTTAATGTGTTGATTTACTTCCAATATCTATCTGTGAAAGACAAAAAGGCACACCTGGGTGGGCTCCCAGTGGCCCTCCCCTCGGCTTGGCTTTCAGCCAAAGGGAAACCGAGACAGAACATTCTCCCATGTCGGACCCTCAAACTGCGACAAACCATTTCCCAAAGGTCTTATTTCTAGTTGGATCCCTGTTTCTATTTTTGTTGTTGTTGTTATTGTTGTTGTCAGAACCGCTTTGAGTCTCTTTAAGAGAAAAAGCGGTATAGTATTATTATTATTATTATTATTATTATTATTATTATTATTATTATTGATTTAGTAATAATAATATTAATAATAATAATTTACACCCCTAGGTTCCTCACAAAGAAATCTGCGCATATGGACTGCTCTATTTTCCCTTGGAATTAATCGGATTTTCAATTTAATGTATTGTCGAAGACTTTCATGGCCGGAATCACTGGCTTGCTGTAGATTTTTGGCCTGTATGGCCATATTCCAGAAGCGTTCTCTCCTGACGTTTCTCCTCACAACCTCTGAGAATGCCTGCCATAGATGCAGGCGAAACGTCAGGAGAGAATGCTTCTGGAACATGGCCAGACAGCCTGAAAAAAACTTACAGCAACCCAGGATTTTGGATTCTTTTTTCTCTATTTCTGTTCCTTTCGAGGAGGGAAAATAAAAATGCGGGCCTGCAAAGGTGTCAACGAAATATTATTATGGGTTGTGGTATTTTTTCCGGGTTGTATGGCCATGTTCCAGAACATAGTCATACAGCCCGAAAAATTTACAACAACCCAGTGATTCCCGCCATGAATATAGCCTTCGACTATATTGTTGTTGTTGTTGTTGTTGTTGTTGTTGTTATTATTATTATTATTATTATTACGGAGGGGAGGGAGAGGGGAAAAGACGGGCGAGTCTTACAGGGAAATAATAATAATAATCCAGCTCCAAAAAGGAGGCGAAATCTCAATTGGGCCTCTGTTGTTACCCTAAAGATGCGGGAGCCCTACAAAGACGGCTGTTTTTCCTTGGATAGGAAAAAGAATACTGCCAATAATTCCTATTATTGCTGTTCTTCTTCTAAAACACAGTCCCCGGCCTTCTGCTTGGTTTTTAACACCAAGGGAGGTAAAACCAGCCACAAGATTCTCGTCGGGGAGATTCGAGGTTCATTGCCTTTCATCCCGGTAACAAGCAAACCAGGCGCTCTCCTCCTTTCTCCAGACAACCCCCCCCCCCCTCCATTTCCCGCTAAACCTAGCTAGCTTGATTCCCTTGTAAACTCTTCCTTTGGACGGGACCCCATGTAAAACGGCTTTGGGAGCCCGATCCAGGAACCTTCAGTATCCAATATTTTGGCTAGCGAGCGATCTTTAGTCATCTCATCTCATCTTTTTTTTGCATTGAATGTTTGTGCTAGGAGCCTTTACCCATCTATTGCTTTTGCTAGGACCCTTGAGCATCCGATTTGTTTTGCTAGGAGCCTTTGCCTATCCAATATTTTGGTTTGGGAGCCTTTAGCCATTTCGTTTCGTTTCCTTTCGTTTAGTTTTTTTTAACACTAGGGCCAATATTTTTGCGGGGACCTTCAGCATCCAATATGTTTTGGCTGGACCTTGTAGCATCCAATATTTGTGCTAGGAGCCTGTACCCACTTACTATGTCTGGTAGGAGCCTTTAGCATCCAATAGGTTTTGCTAGGACCTTTTAGAATCCAATATTTGTGCCTGTACCCTTTTACTAAGTCTGCTAGGAGCCTTTAGCATTCAATATGTTTTGCTAGGAGCCTTTAGCATCCAACATTTGTTCTAGGACCTTTGTCCACTCATTATTTCTGCCAGGATCCTTTAGCATCCAATATATTTTAGTAGTAGCCTTTACCCATCCACTGTTTCTGCTAGGAGCCTTTAGAATCCAGTATGTTTTGCTAGGACCCTTTAGCATCCAATATTTTTTTTGCTAGGAGCTTTTGGACATCTTTTATTTTTGGCTAGGTATGTTTAGCATACACTAGTTGGGCCAGGAACCTTTAGCATCCAATATGTCTTTAGCATCCAATATGTTTTGGTAGGACCCTTTAGGTACCAATATTTTTGCTAGGATCCTTAAGTACCCAATATGTTTTGGCTAGGAGCCTTTAGGTACCAATATTTTTATTAGGAGCCTTAAGTACCCAATATGTTTTGGCTAGGAGCCTTTAGCCATCCAATATGTTTTGGTAGGACCCTTTAGTTACTAATATTTTTTATTAGGAGCCTTAAGTACCCAGTATGTTTTGGCTAGGAGCCTTTAGCTATCCAATATGTTTTGGTAGGACCCTTTAGGTACCAATATTTTGGCTAGGAGCCTTAAGTGCCCAATATGTTTTGGCTAGGAGCCTTTAGCTACCCACTATTTTTGCGAGAAGCCTTTAGACATCTATTCTTGTTGGCTATGTGCTTTGAACCTCCAATATTTTTGGCTAGGAGCCTTAAGCACCCACTCTTTGTGCGAGGAGTCTTTAGCCACCCAATCTTTTGGCTAGGAGGCTATAGCCAGCCACTATAGACATTCTCTCTCTCCTGCTCGGAGCCTTTGGCCACCCGATGTGTTTGCGTGGCTCCCAAGCCCTGGGATGCCATTGTGCGGCGCCTCGCCTTGGGCTGGGCCCCGGGAGACCCCCTCCTCCTCTTCCTCCTCCTCCTCCTCTTCCTCTCGCCTGCCTTACCTGAAGAAGTCATTCTTGCAGTAGAGCTTGCCTTCTCGGGAGAAGCACTTCTCGGTGAGGTTGCACTTGCACTCGCAGCACTGGACGCACTTGATGTGCCAGGCCCGGTCCAGGACGTTGAGGAGGAAGCGGTCCAGGATGGGCCGCTCGCAGCCGGCGCAGTGCACCATCATCTTGGCCCCGCGGAAGCCGCCCTCCTCCTCCTCCTCCTTCTCCTCCTCCTCGCCTTGGAAGGACTGGGCGCGGAGACGCTTCTGGCAGGCCCGACGGCGGGGACGCCTCCTCCTCCTCCTCCTCCTGCTCGCCTCCTTCCTCTTCCTCCTCCTCCGGGCCGCTCTTTCGGGCCGCCCGGCGCGCCTTTCATGCTGGACCCATCGCCCCAGCTTTTGTGTCGCGGGCGGCTCCGAGTCATTCGCGCAGCCTGCTTTCAGAGGGCCGTGACGTAGGGCCGGGAGGGGGCGGGGCCGCGAGAGAGGAGTGAGGGGAGAGGGGAGAGGGAGGCGGCCAATGGGAAGGCCGTGGCCATGGCAACCCCGCCCGGGATTTATAGCGTCGCGAAAGGGGCGCCGGCGCCGCGCGCAGCCTGGCACAGAGGGGGCCCCCAAATAATAGGGGAAAGGCAGAGGCGACGGGGGACGCAGGCAGGGGCGACGCGGGAGGACGCGTAAGTGGGGCTTGGCCGAAGGGGAGGAAGGGGGGCAGGGATCGCCCTTGGGGGACCCCCTCCCTCCCCCCTCCTTCCCTTCCTTCCTTCCTTCCTTCCCTCCTTCTCTCCTTCCTTCTCTCTTTCCTTCTCTCCTTCCTTCCTTCTCCTTCCTTCCTTCTCTCTCTCTTTCCTTCTCTCCTTCCTTCTTTCTCCTTCTTTCTTTCTCTCTTTCCTTCTCTCCTTCCTTCCTTCTCTCCTTTTTTCTCTCCTTCCTTCCTTCCTTCTCTCCTTCCCTCCTTCCTTCTCTCTTTCCTTCCTTCATTCTCTCCTTCCTTCCTTCCTTCCTTCCTTCCTTCCTTCCTTCCTTCCTTCCTTCCTTCCTTCCTTCCTTCTCTCCTTCCTTCCTTCCTTCTCCTTCCTTTCTCTCCTTCTCTCTCTCCTTCTTTCCTTCCTTCCTTCCTTCCTTCCTTCCTTCCTTCCTTCCTTCCTTCCTTCCTTCCAGCAATGCAGCCCTGTCACTCCATGTCGGGCCGCTATCAAAGACAACTTTTGGCTCAGCATTAGCTTTTTGGAGAGGGGAGGGGGAATGGATCGGGGCCTAAATGAGTTTAGAATAGAGAAGGATAGGTTAAGGATCACCCTTCCCCCCTCCTTTTCCCTTATTATTATTATTATTATTATTATTATTATTATTGATGATCATATCAATATTATTTATTATTATTACTGATAAGATATCGATATCGTTCATTATTATTATTGATAGTCATATCAATATTATTTATTATGATTGATAATCATATCAATATTAACTATTATTATTATTGATGATCACATCAAAATATTTATTATTATTGATAATCATATCAATAGCATTTATTATTATTGATGATGATCACATATATTAATTATTATTATTACGATTAATAATATATATATATTCCTCATATCTTCCCCTCTCTTTATATCCTTCATGTTTCCCTTTCTCCCCTCATTAATATTAATAATTAATAATAATATTAATATTACTGTTAATAATAACAACTTTATGTGTATCCCGTATATATCCCTCATTTCTCCCTGTCCCTCCTCTCTTTCCTTTCTTTCCTATCCCAACTTTCCCTCATTATTATTCCTATTAACTTCCTTTCTCACCGTTGGGGCATTCTTTTCCCCCCTTCCTTTCCTTTCCCATCTTCCCCTCCTCCTCCTTGTTGCTGTTATTATTCCCTTTATTTATATCCCTCCTTTCTCCCCATAGGGACATCCTTTCCTCCTTTCCCCCTCTTTTCCACTTTCCTTCCAACTATTCGCTGATTGTTATGTTCGGGACTTTCGGCTTCCTTCCTTCCTCGATTCGAAGTCACTTCGAATGTCTTTGGACTATTTGAGTTTTCTTTTGGGGAAGGGGAGGAAGTTTGCATGCTGTGACCTTAAAGCACCCCAGTCCTGAAAGGGAAGATGATTCATCCTAGTCGTCATCATCATCATCATCATCATCATCATTCTCGAACCGGAATAAAACCGAATTTCTTTGGAAAGTTGGGAGTAGGTCTCTTGGCTCCGACAAGACCGAATCCTTCCTGTGTTGTGGGTCTTTTTCGTTTTCCATGCCTACCTTTCTAGAATCCCAGATATATATTTTAGAGATAGATATGAAAAGAATGTCATACATATACCACACTATATAAACACACACATATAGTATCTATATTATAAAATAGTTCATCATGACTATAAGCACATACCATATATGTATGTATCTAGGATATTCCATCTGTAATGCATTCCAAACAACCGACAAATGCCACCTACACACTTCATGCATTATGGATCCTGGGGCATTTTGGTGGAGTTTCTCTTTAGGGTCATTGCATCCATTTCGTGCCATTTACATTGCAGGCTGTAATCCAGTGTGGATAAACGAGTGTGTATATATATATTCATGATGCCAAATTATTGCATAAAGAGCCATAAATACATTTCTCACACACGTATATATGCATACATGAGATTCCAGGAGGTGTCCAGGTGACACAGGCAATGTTTGACTGTAAGAATATAATACAATGTAATAACAGCTAATAGGAGGCTATGAGACAACATGTGATAGGATAACATATTATACCATGCATTATATTCTAGAGAGAAGATGCTGCATAACGAGAGATAATAATCTCTTTCTCCCCAATTGGTACCACAACATCCGACACGTGTTTTAAAAGAGGAGGGAGAGAGAGAGAGAGAAAGGAAGGAAGGAAGGAAGGAAGGAAGGAAGGAAGGAAGGAGAAGGAAAAAAGAAGGAGAGGAAAAAGAGAAGGAAGAAGAAAGGAAGGAAGAAAAGGAAGGAAGAGGAGGAGGGAGAAGAAAGAAGAAAGAGGAGAAGGAGAGAAGGAAGGAAGGAAGGAAAGACAGAAGGAAGGAAGGAAAGAGGAGAAAGAAGGAAAGGAAGGAAGGAAAAGGAGGAGAGGAAGGAAGGGAAAGAATGGAAGGGAAGGGAAGGAAGGAGGAAGAAAGGGAAAAGGAAGGAGAGAAAGGAAGAGAAGGAGGAACGAAGGAAAGGAAGGAAGGAAGGAAGGAAGGAAGGAAGGAAGGAAGGAAGGAAGGAAGGAAGGAAGAATGGAAGGAAGGAAGGAAGGAAGGAAGGAAGGAAGGAAGGAAGGAGAGAAGGAAGGAAGGAGAGAAGGAAGGAAGGAAGGAAGGAAGGAAGGAAGGAAGGAAGGAAGAAAAGGAGGAAGGAAGGAAGGAAAGGAAGGAAGGAAGGAAGGAAGGAAGGAAGGAGAAAAGGAAGACAAGAAGGAAGGAAAGACCAAAAAAAAGTTAGGAGTTGGAGTAGATGTCCCTTGTGGTCTCTGCTAATTCTATGATTCCAGAAGGAAGGAAGGAAGGAAGGAAGGAAGGAAGGAAGGAAGGAAGGAAGGAAGGAAGGAAGGAAGGAAGGAAGGAAGGAAGGAAGGAAGGAAGGAAGGAGGGGGAAAGGAAGGAATAGTGTCTTCTCTCCGGAAAAACAAAACCCCAAAACCTTTTGCGACCAGCACAAGGCGCAGAGACCGAAATGAGCTGCGTTGCCCCTTCCTTTACCTCCCCCCCCCCCCACACACACACACTATTTAAAGGGCCCGCGGTCTAATTCTCACGACAGCTCCCAGGATCCCCTCCGCCTGGAGCCCGGGAACGCGCACAGAACCTGCATTCGTTGTACAACTTTGTACAACTTGAGGCGGAGAGTTCCGAAGGCCTTTCCTAGGGGGAAAACAAAACCAGATGTTGGCTTGTCTTAGCCAACTATTTCAAGTCTATTTCTTGAGAGGAAATTCAAGCCCTCTTCGACCACTTCTAAGACTTTTAGGTCAGACTTTTTTTTTTTGCTTAAGAAAAGGGTGTGAAGGAAAAGACCCTTTGAGAGAAATATTTCGCCTTCAAAGCTGAATATTCATATCCATACAGATATCAGTTTTATGTTCTGTAGGTGCACCTTTACAAGGGGACAGGATGATGATGATGATGATTGCATTATGTTTATACTATATTCATTCTTATATATTTTATTTTATTATGTTTTATTATATTAATTATTATTATAGTTATTGTTTTGTAATGTTTATATTATATTCGTTATTCTTAACTTGATAATGATTCTTATTCTTTAAATTTATTATTTTATGGTGCTTATACTATATTCTATATATATTCTATATACTATATTATTATATATACTATATTATTATAGTTATTAGTATTATTAGTATTATTTAACTATATTTATAATGTTGATATTATAGTCATTATTATATTATAGTCATTATTATAGTTATTTTATAATGTTTGTATTATATTGTATTATATATTATATTGTATTATATTTATTATTATTATTATTATTATTTTCTCCCTTGCCCGAAACCCATACTTCCCACGCCTTCTCTGACCCTTTCCACACAGCTGAATAAAATCCCACATTTTCTGCTTTGAACTGGAATATATGGCAGTGTGGACTCAGATAATCCAGTTCAAAGCAGATATTGCGGGATTTTCAGTCTTGATATTCTGGGTTTTATGGCTGTGTGGAAGGGCCCCTAAAACTGGGTTTTAAAACCCGGCTATGAAACATCAACAACATTGAAAATCGCATTTATTCATATAGGTTGGAAAAGGAGAAGCATCCTATACTGAGCAAACCTTGATTCAACTCCATCCAGCATTTCATCCATTTGGTCCTTTCCTAAACTATTCGGGTTTTATCACTGCCTGGGCGCCAAATTACCAGAAAGATCAGAATTTCTACTTTTCAGATGCATTTCTTTCCAAATAAATAATTCCTTTATTTTCCCTGTTGAAAAATATATATTAAAACATAAGGGATGGCCTTTCTTTCCAAAAGAAGTCAAGTCGGAAAGGAAGAGAGTGTGCTTTCTGGCCCCTTTGGAAAAAAAATATATCTATTTGAACAGCCGATTTTAGCCGAGTTCACTATTTTTTTTTATCACCGGAGATTGGAGGATTGGGGCGGGGGAGAGTAACGGAAACGAGCGTTACAAAGTAACGAGGAACGTACCTGAGCCGCTATCCCAAAACTGGTGCTTGGGAAGCGGAAACCAGCCACACAAAAGGCAAACAACTGACGAGTTTCCTGTTTGTTTGATTTTTTTACCGTTGGGTTTTTAGTTACTCCGAGAAGTCGGGATCAGGGCCCAAGGGTTCCTGAAACCAGATCCTGATTATGTTGGCATCTAAACTGGATTATAATATAATTAAAAATTAT